TATATATGTGTGTGTGTGTGTGTCAAGGACTACTATACTAGTATAGTAGTCCTTGGTGTGTGTATATGTGTGTGTATACATAGATATACGGATACGCACACATACAGATATAGAGACATAAGCATACACAGACATATGACATACAGATATACAGGCATACATATAATACAGATGTACAGACATAGACGGACACACACGATTGAGAGACTCACGTTCAGTATAATGTAGGAGTCACCGGAGTAGAATTCGCCATACGTTTTGGGTTCTTGGGCCACAACTTTCAGTTTCTGTGGACAGAATGCGACATCATATTGGTCAGGTATACTCTTCACATAACAATACTGTGGTAAGAGCGTGTTCCAAAGTAATGTTTTGTTTGGAAGTTAATTAAGCACTTTGACTTTTCCGTAAATCTCAGTTTGATGGATGGATTTCTACGAGAAGGGAAAAATGCAGTCGACTGTGTATTTTCCAGACTTTAAGGAAATTATATTGATGATAATGAAAATAATAGTAATAATAATAGTAATGAAAATAAGAATTAAGAAAAATAAGATAAAATAATAATTAGAATAAAAAGAAGATTTTCGCTCAACAGCTAGCCCTATGAGCTTAATAAACCAATAAAAATGCTCTAATTTTGTAATGTGGGTATTTTGTCTACCAGAAACAGATTTTCGAGACGTAGCTTCTTCTCAACTTGGGAAGTATTTGTCATGACATAATATGACTATGTATGAAACAGAGTACATTGATCTAAACAACCAAACCTTAGTCAAACGCTGAAAACCTTTGTTTAGGTAGAGGTAGTAATATTATTTTCTATATAATCATCTATAGGAACGGAAGACATAATGCTAATAACAATGATAATGCTTGTAATGATGATGGTAAAATAATAATAGTAAGGATGGTGATGATAATGATAATGATAATGATAATAATAATAATAATAATAATAATAATAATAATAATAATGATAATAAAATGATAATAATAAAATGATAATAATAATAAAAATGATAATATTAATGATAATCTCTTCGGCTGTGCAAGCAGCGGTCTCCATAATGGAATATTAAGGTTTCAAATCCGGGACCTACTGGATGGGAGGCGAACATCGTATCTTTAGACCACGAGAGCCTCGGACAAATTGTTAGAATTAATTTTCATAAAAATTAGTAGGCTATAAGGGAGGAGATTTTCAGGTATCCCAGCGCCCCGCTTCCTCTCCTCCCAAACAAACAAACAAACAAACAAACTAACTAACAAACTAACAAAACACACAAAAATAACAACAACACAACAACACAAGTATTAATAATACAATAAAGAAGAAGGTTCTTATAAGGGCTCAACTCTATAGAAATTACAGGTCTCAAAAAGTTTGGAATAATATTCATATACAACGCTCAGTCTCTCCCCCCCCTTCTCTCACTCTCTCTCTGTCTCTCTCTCCCCCCTCTCTCTCTTTCTC